TTGTTATATATATATATATATATATATATATATCGGCTTAAAAATTAATTAAAAAAAGAATATTTTTATTCTTAAATTGAAAATAATCTAATTTAAATATTTCATTTTATATCCAGGCTCCAATGACAAGTTGTTTTCATCACACAAATATCATGACATATATAAGTTATAATTTTTTTAAAAATATAGTTAAATAATAACTATTTAATTAAATAAATTCACATAAATTAAAGTATAGAAAATATTATTGATCACATGTTTGACAGGATTTTTGAAAAGATTTTGGGACCTTTCTAACAGTTGGTTGTTACTAGCATTTATTTGTTGTGGCCCAAATTTTTATTGACAAAAAGCTTAAACTTACACAACTTTTATTTATCACTATAAAAGGTAACAAATAAACGTGTATGAATATATATATAACGAGGTATATGGATTTGTTCGCTAATAGTCACTCTCAAAACTTAATTTGGTACGTAAATACACAGTTTTGATGATCGTGATGTTTGAATTGACATAAATCTTGAAAATTGAGAAATTTTATTAGATCTTTTTATCGATCAATAATTTAGATTAGGAGTGGAGACAAGTGAACGTAAGAGTGTTCATTTGAATCTTTTTGATGAAATATTATATTATCCCAAAGTAAAAAAATATTTTTATTACATATAATAACTGTTGAATCTCCTTGACCTCTTCTTGTTTCGTATATTTAATCTCTTTAGTAAATGCTCCTTTGTGACACTACAAGAGAGAGACATTTGGGCCAGCCCGAGCTCATTATGGCCCATTAAGTGTGAGTCCGATTGATCTTTGTTCTGGACTGGGCCACTTTTAATGGGCCTTGAACATAAACTCCGTAAAAAAATTAATAGTTGTGGAGAGCTAAATTAGTTTATTAGGAAAATCTATTGAATTTGTTTGAAAAAATGATATGTTCTCTTTTTAGTCGATAACAAAATAACATATTTTTATATTTAGTGATAATTTAACTTTAGGCTAACCATTTAGCTTATTAACTGAGACAATATAAAATTGAACTGAAAGTCGAATCAAATCGTAAATTGAGTATAATTTTAAAAAAACTTAACTAATGATTTGGTTTGACTTAATATGGTATTGGGAAAAACAATCAGACTGTATTCGAGTTGGCTTCATTTTAACTAAAAAAATCAATCTGAGATCAAATCAACCCAACATTATAAACACATTTTTTAGAATTATTTTATACATAAGACTATTTACTTTGATATAATTCGTAAATATATCTTATATTTTTTCATAATTTTTATCTTTTAACATATTATTTCAAGTTCTTGAGATTTAAAATTCTTGAATGGTCCAACAAAAGTTATAGTCCATATTATATATTATTAATTCAAATAAAACTTATATCAAAATCAAATAAATTTTAATGCTAAAAAGGCAAAATTTAACACTAAGAATAATAATAATAATATTAAATATTTGATCTTTAGTTTTGCAATGATTTAGACATTTAAAATCTATAACCTAATTTTTTAAAATATTTAATCACATAACTAGTACTCATGAAGCTTTTTTTAGCATAATTTAATATATTTAAATTATGATAATTTTCATTATATCAATTTGTATCTAAGTAGTTTTGAAAAATAATATTTCAGATAAACATAAAAATATTCATGACCAAATGAATAATATTGTCAAACTTGAACTCGATCGTCTTCATTTTCCTTTTTGTTATGAAAAATATTTAATACTCTAAATATTTTTCAAAAATATTTTTTTTGTATCTAAATAAAAATAATATAAAAATGGAGAAGAGTCGAATCCGTATATAAGCAGCTTCCTTAGTTACCACACTACGAGATATACGGCAAGATCCTCATATTGTCATTAACTTGTCACATGCCTTGATTAACAAATTAAATGTCGTTTTAGATTCTTATCACATAATTTTATACATGAAAATAATAAGGGAAAATTATATATAATATCAGATTAATAATCTAAAATAAATGAAGTAGATAGAGTTTGATTTAATTGTGTGTCATAGCAAACGTTTGTAAAAAATTGTCAGGCGCCTCTCTCTCAAATATCTCGCTCGCCACTCTCTCTCGCTCGCTTCCTCACTTTTTATACAAACACAAGTGAAAAAAAAATTGTTTCTAATTGTATAAAGCAGAGAAAATTGTATAAATACATATATATTTTTGTTCCCTTCTCTCCACTCTTCCAGATCTCGCTCGCCACCCTCGCCTTTCTCACTTATACAACCAGAAGCGAAATGTATAAATTGCTTTTCTATTTGTATAAAGCGTGAGAAAATTGTATATACACATGCAAGTACATATATTTTCGTCCGATACACTTATAATTATACAATAAAAATACTCTCCTGCCTAGTTTTGTTTTGCCTTTCTCTCTTTCTCGTTTTATACAATTTTCAAATTGTATCTAATTTCTCTCTTTCTCGTTTTATACAATTTGATTCAATTGTATATTCCTTATCAAGTCTCTTTTGTCTTTCTCTCTTTCTCATTTTATACAAATTCAAATTGTATATAATCGTTCTATACACTTATAATAATACAATTCGTTTTATACACTTCATTTTTTATACAGTTCTCTGCCCAAGTGTCTTTCTTTTTCTTGTTTTATACACTTCGTTTTATACAATTTGCTTCACCTATATATGTATAGCGAATTATACAGCTTCTATGTTTGCTATAGAGCGCAATTATGCAAACTTTGCTATAACATATAAATATAAATTTTTTATTTGCTATATGTGAAAGTTGCCCAAATAATAATACCTATTGGGCTAATTTTTTAAAATCAATTTATTTTCTTAAATAAAATTGATGAAGAAGTACTCTTTTTTCACCTTATATATTTTTTTTTATTAAATAAGGAAACTTCCATCAATGCTACACTCAACTCATTATTATTTATGGATATATAACAAGATCCAAAATTTCCGGAAATTCTATCTATTTATTTTTTGGTTCTTGTATTAATTATTATATTAAGTATAATTATTTTATTTCATTTTGGTTATAAATCTCAGATTCTAAGTTCTTATTAATTAATTCCTGTCAAGGAAGAGTGGAAGACCAGCATGTACCAAAGCTGGACATCTAGTGCGTGAACATAATTTAATATGGGGTTCAACGTTGAAAGAGAGAATTGAAATGAGTTCTACTATGTAATTATTTAAGGAAATAAATATTATACGCAATTACTCAACTCTAAAAATTAACTTCGGAGAAGATAGATCGTCTAGGAGACTACCTATTGTGTTTTCATTAGTTTTAGTACTTGTTTTTACAACATTCCAGGAATATTGTAAAAACAAGACTAATAAACTTCTGGGCTGAAAAACTTTTTGAAAAAAAGTGTACGTACCACAAAAGATAAATTCCATCTTAAAAAGTGACTGATTAAAAAGTGAAACGCTATCTAACTGAGACGAGACACAATTTACATGATATGTGCTCTTTTAAGCTAGATGATAGCATAGGTCAAAGGACAAATTCATGAGATCCATTAGATGCATCATAGGGTTAAAAAAGTCATCTATATGTGTCAAAAAAAAAGAGTAAAATAAGTACAAATATATAATCGATTTCAAATCAAAGTATATGATATGGTCGGATTGTGATATAATTTCTCAACTTGAAATTCGAATCAGAACGTTCAAATTTTAAATCCGCCTATGCATGTGCTACAATCTTGCTGTCTATAGCCAGTCCATAATTTGAAGCCAATTTAGTATTACTTTCGTGCATAGAGTTGATTAATTAAACAAACATTTATGTTAAAAAAAAATAAAGCAACTTGGATCCTTCAACATCTCTATAAAAACAAAACCTTAATTGTTATGTTTACACTTGCCTTAACAACCTATTTGTTATCTCTGTTCTAATATTTCAATCTTCTTTTTTGTTAGAAGAAATTAAATAGAAAAAAGAGCTCTAGCAACATAGTGAAATACATATTAAATGGCCATTTCAATTGGAAAATTAGTATTTGTGTGCATTTTCTTGATTTTGTGTGTTGAAATGCCAACAAGTTTAGCAAATGAGTATGTTGTGGGTGACAAAAGAGGTTGGAGTCCGGGGGTTGATTATCATCCATGGGCTTATGGCAAAAGCTTTCGTGTTGGAGATGTTCTACGTAAGTACTGTTTCAATTTGCATGACATACTTTCATTTTTTACAAGTCTTAAAAAGAAGAAAAATGAATATCTATTTTTTTTACTTTTAAGGTGCACTTGGCATGTTAGATAAATTCATTTTTAAGTTTTTAAAAAGTTATTTTGATAAAAAATCCTTTTCGCTATGATTAACCTTATTCGTTATTTAGAAATGATCTAGTGATAAATTCTATAAGAATTGGATGAAAGACATTTGTTTCATGGTCTAATACTCTTTAATTAAAAGCTTGAAAATGTTTTAAATTAATTACATCACGAGAGAAATATATAAGTGGTGAAAGTTAATTTTTCCCTTTTAATAATTTTTTTTTCTTAAAAAGAAATATTGGTGTTTGTTCGATAGAAAATAACTTATATTCTTTTTCTTCGTACTGAACATATACCTTAATGATAGTATATAACCTCAAAATGTCACGTAGCTTCAAAGTTTTTCTTTCTTAAATTAATGTGGAAGTCAACGTAGTTACTTAAACTCGTCTAGCAGGATTGTATTATTTGTCATATAGCAATCTATTTCTCATTTCACCCCTGTGATTTTCATCAAATTTTTTAAACATCTTTTTATTTCTTAGACTTTATATCCAATCAAACTCGCCGGTTAAATTAGAGGAAACAGAATAAATTTACTGAAATTGTCTTGAAATTTTATTCACAAAGAAAAGAGTTAGGGGTGGAGCTATAAAGCTTCACCAAACTCAGTAATTTTGGTATAAATCCCGTATTTATCTTAAAATATTTATTAAACTCATATAAATTATAACGAAAATAGTTTTAAACTCATAAATTTCAAATTTTGACTCGACAGATTTCTTCTATGCCCCAAAAGTGATAGATGTGGCCTCAGTGGATATTTCAAGCTATGCACTTTGTGATAGTAATGTCAAAACTTTCTACAAGGATAATAGTGGCCAAACATCAATTACTCTTGACAAATCTGGCCCATACTATTTCATCTCTACAAGCAAAAAAGGGTGTTTTGAAGGTCTCAAGCTAGAGTTGCATGTTATTTGAAAATTATATGAGGAGAATTTAATTTGTTATTTTATTTTTTTTAAGTTTTCAATTCTTTTATGTACTTGTAATAAAGTTTTTGCTAATAACATGAATTTTCTATTTATTAGTTAGAGCTAATTTTTTCTTTAGTGAACTCTAGACATGTTGGGGTTGAGGTAATTAATATATACGGAATTATGTGGAAGCTAATAATTATCGATATTTAACGACCGTGAACTACAAACAAAGAGAAGTATACTTTATATGCATTATATAAATTTGAAAATATGGTCTAACGAATTTTTATACTTGTCCGAGTTTATATTATGTATACTTCTACTTAACGCTTTTCCTTAACCAACTAAATTAACCTTTACATGATCAGTAGAACACTTTATATCAAACTCCTCTCATCATTGATCAAACTTATATGACAGAAATAGTGAGGGTGTGTACTACACACGTGTAAAGCGAATAGTATATTTAAATTTAAAAAAAATATGAAAATTACATTTGTATCTACACTTGAGCAAAACTTTAGAGGGTTATCCGGGGATGGCTTGACAGTGTTAAAATAAAGACATATATATGCCTTAGGCCCCCAAATTTAAGGACTTTCATTTTTCATAGGGTAAAAGGCTCAAATATGTCATTGAACTTTCAGAAATAACTCATTTATGCCATCAGTTAAAAATTTGGTTCATTCATGCCATTACCGTTAAAGAAAAGACTCATTCATGCCATTATTTTTTAACGGTGATTTTGCAAAACCATTTTTGACACGTGACCAATTATAATTCGGTCACGTCATCAATTTTTTTAACTATTGCCTTAGACCATGACCAAAATTTCAGAGACACACCTTAACTAAACTAAGGTCCTATTACCCCTGAACTTATTTTTTGGTAATTATATACACCTTTTGTCTAACGTGACACACTCTGTGACCCCATATAATTGAGGTGCGTGAGATATATTTGAATGCCACGTAAGCCGAAAAGATACACAAAATTACAAAAAAAATAAATTCAGGGGGTAATAGAACCTTAATTTAGTTAATGTGTGTCGCTGAAATTTAGATTATAGTCTAGGAGGGTACTTGTGCATTTTCCTTTTTATTTATGAAATATGATTGCACTTATTCTGTAAATTCGTATCGAGAATTGATTTTTTTTTGATAATTTTCATAAATTAAAGAGTTTTAATATTTATCAAAATAAAATTACAACTTAAAAAGTTTCAAATGATTTGTCCAAACAAATTTCAACTTCAATTCAACCTAATTGAAATTAGGTCCAAACAAGCCCTTAATCATTTGCTACCTCTCCATTCTTTTACCCTTTCTTCGGCAACGGAAGCCTGCAACAAGTGGGAAAATAAAGTACTATGATAACATTAAGTCACATTTTTACTTTAAAAAGCTTGAAGATATTTTTAAATTATGTGAAATTATATAAAAAAAATATATTCTTTGTTAATATTTTGATTCAAAAAATATTTCTACTTTATTACTTTTGAGTCAAAAATGCATTTTCTAATAAATATATTGTTTCTTTTTCATATAAACACATTCTTTCTCTAATAAAAATACGGCAACCTATTATTAATTTTTATTCAGATAACAATAAGATTCATTGTCCTTATAATATATAAACTATTTTCATCCAAACACTTATTTTATTTTATTTTTTACAAAAGCTCGAAAAGACGCCTCACTCTTTAAAATAATTATATTTTTTAAAGAAAAAAAAACTTTGATCTTTCAAAAACATGATCAAACAGGTTCACACAATAATTGAACTATTTTCTTGAAAAAATTACTATTGTATATGATGGATTTGCAAGACATTACCTCTTTTTTCCAATTAGTTTTGGAAATCATGAGAATAAGAATACTAGTTTGAAGTGTGGTTCCTAACAACATTCCTGTCCACATGCCCTGCCATTTATAATTTATTTACAAATATAAACCAAAAGAAAAAATAAAAACCATGAAATTACATATAATAATGTTTTCAACACTTTTTTTGTACTTCGATACACTTTATTCGATTTATTGTAATTTTTGGTTTTTAAATACGTTAAACCAATAACCAAATTAAAAAGAGATCTTTTTTATCTATTTTCGGTTTATTGATTTTGGTCCTTAATGGTTTGATTTTCGATTTAACCAATAAGAAAATAAATATACTAACTTCTCTAATAAATTTGACCCGACAACACAATAATGTAATGAATAACTATATGAGTGTAACACAAAGAGAAATTAAGAGGAATAAAATTCTTACTTTAAATTTTGACATTTTATATAATGCAAAATTATGAACTAAAAGTCACTTTAATTTGAAGTGTGAATATTTATGCACGTCTTGTATATTATTTGGATGGCCCAAAAAAAAAGGGAAGCAATATACTTTTACAGCTAAAAGGAGAATGTTAGAAGAAACAAAGTATAAGATATTTTTCTACTTATTTATGCATAGCTCGAGCCGAGGCTAATGAGTGCTCGAGCACCCATAACACACATTGTGAGTTTGCCCCTGGCTGTAGCGGCTTGCAAGCGTTATTGTGAGCTGATGAAATTTTGAAAAATTAGCAGGGCTGGTGGTGCCTTGCATTTAAGAATATTAATATGGTAAAAATATTAGACTATGATTTGATATTGTGATAACATAACAGAGAGAGGCATGTGATCATGGGGCAAGAGTTATGGCAAGTGTATAGAGACTTAGAGGTAGTGTCACTTCTATATATTGCATGCTTTATTTTGGTTATTTATGTTATATTAGTACATGTGTTTATACTGGTACCACTCTTTCTATGTCACTTGGTATAGTCTGTTTGCAGGGATTGTGTGATGTTTGATGATAATTTCTAATAGCTTCTACTCATCTTTCTTTATGGTGGAACTTTTGCTTTATTTATTTGTACAGTAAGAGTATGTAGGGTCCGATGTGTTGAATCGCGACATGACAAATAATGTCTTTGTCCATTTAATTTTAAAATTCTCTTTTACCTTTACTGCCTCTATCCACTTTAACTTAAAAAGTTCCCTCCCTCAGTCAAGGAAATGGATGGAGTATTATCTTTTTATAATTAGGAATAATGTGATTTTGATATTCCAATTATCCTTTATGAAATATACACTCTGTCTACTATTTCAAAAGTAGATATTCACTTTTTTTCTAGTCCAATTTAAAAAATTAAGAAATAATTTATCATTGAGAAAATGATCTAAAGTCTTCCCCCCCCCACTTCCCCCTAAACCCCAAAATCTATACCTGAAATCTTAAATGCACACTCTAACTTCACAAATGTCCTATCACATCCCTAGACATTTTATTTGCTTATTTACTACACTCTTGAGTGTTGTCCAGTCCACATAATAGTGGGGAAGAATGAAAAGTGGTTTATTTAACTTGGGGAAGATGACCATTGGAGAAGTACATTTTTTTTTGTCAAAATTTAAGGATTGCTTCTTCTCACGCGCCTAGGAGGAGTTCTCACCTCCTATGACAGGTCGACATTCAAGTGTGTAGAAAATAGATAAATAAAATGTTTAGAAAGGTGATAGAACACCCGTAAAGTTAAAATGTGTAGTTGAGATTTCAGGTATAAAATGAGAGACATTAGACCAGTTTCTTTTTATCATTTAGTTCCTAACTTATCCTTATTATTAATTATAGTCATTTCTCAACGTATTAAATTTGTTATATTTAAAAGAAATATAACAAAATTATCATTTTGTTTATTACTCTTTATGTTAAGTCAATATTGAACGAGCAAAGAAAAAGAGAATAGTCTATACTTTTAGGTTTTCAAAAAATAAATTATTCATTTTTATTAATCCAATATAAGATGTACTTTTATTATTGCAGAGAAGGAGATAGATTACAATACCTTAACACCCATGTCGAGGCAAAAGCTAAAAATAAGGCCCAAAGGAATACCAAATGCATAGTAGCTTACTATGTTAATGTAAGCTACATATATTTGCCAACCTGCTCCAATAGCCACACCTGTAATTGTTGCTCCATTATTGGTATTAATATACATTTATCGGCTATTATTTTGATGGGTGTTATTTATGTAAAATTTTAATTTTAAATTGCAACTCCAAAGCATATAAATATATCATTTAATCGTACAATTTATCCTTTTAATGAACTGACCCATAAAATATAATATGTAATTTGAGATAGATAAAAGGGATAATGTCCAAGTACCCCCTCAACCTATGCCCGAAATCTCACAGACACACTTATACTATACT